AGTCCAAAGGACTAATGGACCACAACTACCACAGCCTCCACCAGACTGAGTCCAGTACAACTAGATGGTGCCCGGCTACCACCACTGACTGCTCTGACAGGGATCACAATAGAGGGTCCTAGACAGAGCTGGAGAAAAATGTAGAACAAAATTCTAACTCACAAAAAATGAACAGACTTACTGGCCTGACAGAGACTGGAGAAACTTCGAGAGTATGGCCCCTGGACACCCTTTTAGCTCACTAATGAAGTCACACCCGAAGTTCACACTTCAGCCTGGGATTAGACAGGCCCATAAAGCAAAACGAGACTAAGGGGGCACACCAGCCCAGGGGCAGGGACCAGAAGGCAGGAGGAGACAGGAAAGCTGGTAATAGGGAACCCAAGGTCCAGAAGGGAGAGTGTTGACATGTCATGGGGTTGGTAATCAATATCACAAAGCAATATGTGTACTGTTTAATGAGAAGCTAGTTTGTTCTGCAAACCTTCATCTAAAGTACAATAAAAAAATAAAAGTAAATCCAAGTCTTAATTTTATTTAATCAAGTGAAAAATAGATATTGCAAAAGTGTTTTCTTTTTTTACGAATTGCATGACTTTGCTTACTTTGTATCAACACTGATTATTTTAAAACATAGAACGAAATTTAATTTACTGAATTTGGTAAATATTCCATTTCCCTTGTTTAAAAAAAAAAAAGGAAAAATATATATCATTTTAAATGCATGGGTGGGTGAGCTGGCGACAAAGTCAAGAATCCTCAGAGTCTAAAACCTAAGTGTTCACAGGGCAGGAGACAAAAGGCAAAGCCAAGGTCCTTCCCAAGTTGAGGAGCCTAAGAGGAGACCTCCTGCAAAAAAGCCAACCCTCCAAGAAAGGAGTGAGGAGAACCTAGAAACACCCACCCTCCTGTGTGCGAGCAACTTGAATTCACACTGTACGGGTGATTGAAAAAACCTAAGCCAAGAACGTCCTTTAAGGTGGCCCTGGGTTAGCTGTTGCTATAATGGTTACAGATTGAATTGTGTCCTCCCCAAAAAGATATGTTGAAGCCCTAACCCCATGGTACCTGTGCATGTGTCCTTGGCTGGAAATAGAGCTTTTGAAGATGTTATCAGTTAACATGAGAACATCCTGGAGAAGGGAGGATCCTAATCTAAGCTGTTGTTGTTGTTAGGTGCCACCGACTTGGTTCTGACTCATAGCGACCCTATGTACAACATACAACATACACTGCCAGGTCCTGTGCCATCCTCACAATCCTTGTTATGCTTGAGCCCATCGTTGCAGCCACTGTGTCAGCCCATCTCATTGAAGGTCTTCTCACTGAATCTAATCTGAGTGGTGTCCTTATAAAAGAGAAGAAGAGACACAGAGATATGCACCCAAAGAGAAGACAGCATGTGAAGACAGAGGCAAAGATCAGAGTGATGAATCTACAAGTCAGGGAAAACCAAGGATTGCAGGGAGCCATCACAAGCTAGGAAGAGGAAGGGAAGGATCTTCCCGTAGAGTCTTCAGAGACAACATGATCCTGCCAACACCTTGACTTGGACTTCTAGTCTCCAGAACTATGAGACACTAAATTCCTGTTACTTTAAGCCATCCGGTTTGTCATACTTCATTATGCCAGTCCCAGGAAACAAATACAGTCAGAGTCCCATGTACCTGCGAAAAACAAACATAGATTCTCTCTGGAAGAACCCACCTTCAAACCATGCCTCAGAGAATTCCCACAGATGACACTCTAAAGAACATGTCCTCACCCTTAAAACATCACACAGCCACAAAGAAGTTGAGGCACCATGAGCAAATGCAAGCCAGCAGAAAAAACTAAGAGTGGAATCAGAGCCATCACAAAGTGTTGTTGTTGGTG